TCAAATCCATGGCCATTCTCCTGCCTCAGCCTCCCAATGCTGGGATTACAAGTACACATCACCACGCCCAGCTAGGTTGGCAGGTTTTGGAAATTAAATTTCAAAGTCCATCCACTCCATAGATGTTCACTTAGTATCTTACAGTTTTTATTTTGAAAATTTTAAAATTTACCAAAAGGTGGCGAGCTCCTGGACTCGTTACAGTCACTTATCACCCTTTCCCCCCCCAAGTTGTCCCTCTTTCCTTGTATGCCTATGTTCTCAGAAACTCATGTTTTTCTGTGTAACCATTTGTTATTAAGTAGCAGCTATTATAATACTTCATCTCTAAACATTTGGCATGTAATTCCTAAAGTCAAGACAGCATCTTCTCCTGTATCATCACAGTACAGTGCTCATACTCGCTGGCATGGATACAATGCCAATTTGTACCACACATCCAATGTTCAAACGCCCCCAGTTGGGTCCTATTAACTAAATTTTTTCTCCCCTCTTGCAATCCTTCCTTTTTAAAGTCCAGACTCTAACCCAGAATCAGACAAGTGTGCTTCATTCACTTCTGCCTCCCAGGCTTCTCTAATCCAGGGCATTACTGCAGGGTTCTAGTGTTGATATTGTTGAATTGTCCTGGCTGGCTGAGGGTCCCCTTTTTGATTAGTGTGTTTTATCATACAAAATAAACATAATCATCATGAGGAATTGGTGCATATACCTATTCCACCTTGATCCAATTTTCTTCCCCTTCCGCCCCCTTTCTCCCATCTCCCCATCCCCGTCCTCACTTCACCTCCAGATAGTCTATCTTCCTGTTTTCTATTATTTTTTATTTTGCTCTTTAAATTATTTATCCTTGAGTTCTTATGTAAGAGAAACCATGCAATATTTAACCTTCTACACTTTATTTTTTTTACTTAGCTTTATGATCTCAAAGTGCATCTTTCCCTACATATTATTCAATTTTTTTCTTTTCTTTTCTTTTTTTTTTTGTAATATTCACCAAACTTTATAGCAAGGGTTTCAAACAAGCAAAGTCAAAATTTCAATAAGGTTCTCACATACAGTCAGAATCTACTCTAAAAGCAGAATAAAAACATGGCAGTGAAATTTTTTTCTCCTTGGGCCAGGGAGATGGCTCAGTAGAATAAGTGCTCTCCATTGTGTATATCTACACCATGCTTTTCCATGTTCATTCGGCTGTCGATGGGCATATAGGCTGCTTCCAAGAGCAAGTTATTGTGAGCTATGCTGCTGTCAACGTGGATAGCCACGGTCATTGCACTATGATATCTTTACCCTTTGGGGAGGATACCCAGAAGAGGTATAGCTAGGTGGAGTGGAGTAGAATTCCTAATTTTATGGGGTTTTTTGTTTTGTTTCTGTACTGGAAATTGAACTCAGGACCTTGCACTTGCTAGTGGGTGCAGTTCCACTGAGCTACATCTCCGGTCCTCTAGTTTTAGTTTTTTAAGGAACTGCCCTATTGATTCCCATAGGGTTGTACTAACTCACAATTCCTCCAGCAATGGAGGAGGGTTCTTGGCACCCCCACCTCATCTTGGCTGGCTGTTTTGCTAAATGTCCACCCGGTTTAGATTTGTCTGGTTGCATCCCCTGATTATATTCATGTTAAACATTTTTGGCAAGAGTGTTGCGTAAGCAATATGTCACTCTTTGGTGCAGGACATCAGAGGGGCAGTTGGTTCCTTGTCAATAACTTTGACCCACAGTCAGCGTGATGACCTCCACATTCTCCCTGTGACCACATCTGCTATGGACTGTGGCTGTGGCAAATGCTGGCTGAACCATCAGCCAGTTTAGACCCAGTCACTTTTCAAACAGCTTTTACCGGGAAGGAGACAATAAACCAGGAAACAGATCATGTCAAACCGTGGGGTTTTATGAAGGATGTGACTAGAGTTCCAAGACGGGAAAGTACCAACTCTAAAGTCACCCTGTAAGGTGAGACTTGAACAGCAAATGGAGATGGTAAAGGAATAAAGCTGTTGATGTGCTAACTATCCTGATCTCAACTGTCCACCCTGTACCCACATGTCTTGTTACTTCAGGAAGAAGCAGAACCACTACCTGTCAGTAAAATTAAAAATGAATTAGAAACTATTAAATATAGAATTTCAAAATAGTTAAACTATGAGGATTTAATATCATTTTAGATATGGTAGTATACCTATATAAAAATGTAACTTGACTAAGATGTCCATTTAGGAATGTTTTCAGTTATACTACATTATAAAATACAATGCTGTACAAATATAAATCTAACGTTAAAATATTACAAAACTGTGAGCAGCTGGGTGTGGTGGCACATGCCTCAATCCCAGCACTTGGGAGGCTGAGACAGGAGGACCACTGTCAGTTTGAGGTCAACCTGGGATACAAAGCAAGTTGAAGATCAGCCTGAATAGCACACCCTGTCTCAAAAACAAACAAACAAACAAACAAACAAACACCAAACTGTGAAGAATTACAAAGTAAACAAATTAAAGTTATTTGTAGTATAGTCATTTTATTCAACTAGGAAAATTGACAATGCCTGCTAGTTGATAAGTAAAATACAGCAATTCAAAATTAATAGTTTTAAGGATATCGTTATTCTGAGGTTGCATTCTGAGACTTAATTGATGGCTGAGGTAAATTTCACAGACTTATTTTTCTTAAAAAGGAGTTAAATTTTGCTGATACATAAGTGAAGCTGTTCATTAACTTATAGTACTGCAACTGAAAATTGTGGAGAATTTTTCTCCAAAGCTTAAAAATGTGACAGAGTTTTATGAGATAACCCTTTAGAATTCCTATTTCTTCTAATATCTGTTCTGCCCTTTTTTCCTTTGAAAGTGTTTTGCTCAGGTCTTGTCAGAATAACATAGCACTTGGGGGCAAAGATACATGCTAGAAGTCCTACAGGGACACTCCCCAGATCCAGGGAGCCTGGTGTTCAGATAATGCAGCACACAGCAGAAGGCAATGTCACAACTCTTGTTGCATAAGGCAATGATGTGTCTGTTATAAAGATTCAATTTTAGGGGGCTCCAGATAGCTCAGGGGACTAAAGCCCCTGCTTAGGCAGGGGCAAGGACTGGGTTTCAATTCCTCTCGTGCAGTGCCCACCAGACCCAACCCTGGGGGCATGCTGAGACAGCACCTGAGAAGGCATGGTGGCAGGCACCTGTAATCCCAGCGCTTGGGAGGCTGAAAACAGGAGAATCATTCTGAGTCCTATTTGTGTAGTGAGACCTTGCAGACCCTGTAATAAATACATTAAAAAGACTAATAATAGAGATGCGATTTTCGATTATTTATGACACTTTTCCTACAGGGACTGACGATAACCATTATTACTTTTTTGTTTTGTTTTGTTTTTGAGACAGGATCTTAGTATGTAGTTCAGGCTAGCTTCGAACTCACTATGTTCCCCAGGTGGCTTCAACTCTGTGACCCTCCTGCCACAGCCTCCTGAGTACTGCGATTACCACCAAGGGTGCACCGCCACACAGGCTTAACCATTGTTTTAAAAATAATGAGCATATGTGGGGCTGGGAAGATGGCTTAGTAGAATAAGGGCTTCCCTGGCAAGCCCAAGGGCCTGAGTTCAATCCTTGGTTCCGCAAAAAATAAAAAATAAAAATAAAAATGAGTATATGGAAAAGAGTAGTTAATGCTTAAATCTTTCTTCTTTGTAATTTTTTACGCCTAAAAAAAACAATTTTGCATGTTTATATCTGGTAATCTGAACAACTGATTTGAAGATAACATTATGTAACACAGAAACCATTGTCGAATTCCTATTATTCGTTTAGTGAAATTCTGTATCGTTTCTAATTTTTTTCTTTTTCTTTTCTTTCTTTTTAACCCTTTTGTATTATCTTTAAAAAAAAAAAAATGAGTGTATTACTCCCCACAACAGAACTAGCCCTAGGGGATAAAAGGCTAACATGTTTTATTACAGAGTACCTGGTTAGAACTCAGGACGATTGAATTTTTATTTACTCTCTTAGACTGTTGCTAGAAAAATCACAAGATAATCACACTCACCAAAAAATTAATATCTACCTATCTATCTCCCAATGGCTGAAAGAGAAAAAATTAACTCATGGTTAGGAGGCAATACATAAAGCAGGCCACTCTGATTGGCCAGCCCACTCCTACTCTGTCTCTTCCAACCAATTTTCTTCGGCTTTCTCCAGTTCCAAAGACTCGGTATTTACAAAGTCTCCAAGTAGCTCTTTACAAATTATTGAGTTAAACCAAGTGACCCCAAGAGGACATTCAGAAGGTTCACTCGATGAAGGCCCCGAGAGGGAAGCCGCGGGAGGGTGCAGGGAAAGGAAGGTTTCGGATGTACAGAGAGGCCTTAGGGTTGCAAGATGTGTGGGTGACGAGGCAGGGTCAGAGGACCGAGGTGGGGGCCTCT